GCAACCCCGGCACGCCGAGGCGCGGCACAGCGTGCCGCGGAGGGTCCGGGATGCACCGCAAACTCTGTCGAGGGGCCAGTCCTGGCTAGCATCGGCAGCATCGTCTGCCTACCAGACCACCCCAACCCCCCCTTCCCCTCCTCCTCCTCTCCCTCCTCCTCCTCCTCCTCCCCTCCTCCTCCTCCTCCGTTTTTCCTCCTCCTCCTCACCCCCCTCCCCCTCCTCCTCCTCCTCCTCCTCCTCCTCCTCCTCCTCCTCGCCCTCCCCTCCTCGGGTCGCCTACGGCCCCAGGGGAAACCGTCCAATGCAGAGGGCCTTGGACGCCCACGCCAAGGCTCTTGAAGCGGGCCTGGCCAGAATGGGCCGAAGGCGACCAAGGAGGCAAGGATGACTACCTACCAGACCACCCCAACCCAACCCGAGGACCCAAATTTCGGGTTGGGGGGGGCAGGCTTCATATGAGTTTTTCCATGTTTCCCGACCCCCCCCACTGGAAATGGAGGGTAAATCGGGGCCTCCGGGTTGGGTTGGGGTGGCTTGGTGGGCGGTGATCAACACAAACCTTCGAGGCTGCGCGCGGATTTCTTGGATCGGCGCTGGACCCCCCTGGCGGCGCATCCGGCGCCGCCCCTGGCGCGCTCTGCGCGCCAGGGAAGAGGGGTCCAGCGACGATCCAAGAAACTCGCGCAGAACTCCGAACATTTCCCGGTTTCTGATGGCTTCTGAGATCTGCTATCGGCGGCGAGCGAGGGAGTGAAGTGAGAAGGGGCGGGCCCTCTCAGAAGGCTCGGACGCCCCCTGGCCTTCCGAGAAAAGCTCCGAGCCCTCCCCGAAGGCACGGAACACGTCCTGGAAGGCAGGAGGGCTCTCGAGAGACCCCGCCGCCTTCTGAGAGGGCCCTCTCCTTCTCGCTTCCCCCCCTCGCCCGCCGCCGATTCTGACGGACAACCGCTCCCCTCGGCAGCGCCCAAGGGCGTGCGCCGCCCCCCGCCTCCCCGAGGTTTCCCGGACTGCGAGGCGCAGCCCCGGCGCTCTCCGAGGCGTCCCGTGTGCCCAGAGGCTGGCCTCGAAGACGGCCTGGGCATGCTGCCCAGGCCGCCAGGGTGGCCCGATGTGCCTCCGAGACGGCCCAGGATGGTCTCAAGGCGAGGCGGGGACTTATCCATATCCGCCGCCTGGGAACCGACGTCCCGGTGCCCCAGCGGGCGGTGGGTATGGATAGAAGTCGGCCCCCGAGGGCCCAAATATGCCCATATCCACCGCGTGCCGAGGCTCCGAAAACTAACCATCCAGGCAGTGGTCATGTGTAAATTCCCGCCTCGGACTCAAGACGACCTAGAAATGACATCAAGACTGCCCAATAATCCCTCAAGACGGCCCCAAAGGGCTCCAAGAGCATCTCCAGGGGGGCCCTGGGGCCAAACTCATTGTGCTTCGCCGAACTGTTGATCGATGTTCACAACCTCGCCTTTTCGGGCTCCCGCCGGGCGCCGAGGCTCAAATGGCCTCGAGACGGCCGAAGAGAGCGTCAAGACCAAGACGGCGTCAAGATCGCCCAAGGGGGGCTCCAAGAAGGCCCCAAGACGGCCCATAGAGGCCCCCAGAACGGACTCCGAGAAACGCCAGACGGGCCAAGAGCGTCCTCACACAGCCCAAAAGAGCCCCAAAGAGGCTCCAAGACGCTCGCTAGAGGCCCCGAGGGGCCCTTAAAGAGGCCCCGTGTCAAAAGCGACGGCCTTCCTCTTCCTCCTCCTCCTCCTCCTCCTCCTCCTCCTCACCACCACCACCACCACCATCATCATATTCTTCATCCCCTTCGTCCGCCTACATCCCCCTTCCCCTCCTCGTCATCATCCCCATCATCCCCATTACGGGCCCCCTCGAGCACTGGCCACCCAGTGCCGGGCAGGCGCGGTGGCTGGACTCACCGGAAGCGTTGGCTGCAAAAGAGGCGCCCACGCCGAACAACATGAGCCGCATGGCAAGGACACTGGACCCGCGTAGCTCTCGCAGAAGCGCAGCGTGATCCAGCCATATACGTTGTGTTTCCACGCGTAATAAAAAAACCGTCGGCCTGGGGACGCGTCCTCTTGCCATCCAGCACTCCTCGCGGTATCTGGCCAGGCGGCGCGGCTCGACGTCGCTGGAGCAGGCCCGCTTCAACTCGGGGAGCTTGGGAAAGCCAAGAAGTACCGAACTTGCCGATACTCCCTGGGCCTTTTCGGGGATCTTCTGACCCGGGTCAATCCAGACCCGGGTCAGCGGGAGACCAAACACTGCAATGCAGAACATAAAAACTGCAACGCAGAGCTTCGCAAACCCGGGTCAGCGAATATGCGCGGCCGCCTCGCGGCCACGAGCGGCTCGCTAACCCGGGTCAGCCAGAAGGGGGTCTTCGCAGGACCCTGCAGGATCTGGTGCCCTGGCTGACCCCCGTTTGCATTGACCCCCGTCTCAAGGCTCCCGACCTGTCCTGAACTGCGGTCTGACAAGGGCTTCGAGGCGAACCCGGCCGTGGCGACGAGGGAAGTGTAGCGGCATCCGTACGTCTCCCTCCCCTTTGGGGGGATGGCACGGGAAGATACGGACGGAAACGTGAGCAGAAACGTGCGCCACACCGCCGCGGACGGATGCAGGGCTCCCCCCGCCGCCTGCGCTCCTGGGGGGGGGGTCAGGAGAGGGGTGGGAGGAGGGGCATGAGTGGTAGGATAGGAACAAGGAAAGGCGACACCAACACCAACAGGGCGAGGAGATGCGCGGAGGCAAGGGGGGTCTCCCTGGTGGTGTGGTCCCCCCCTCTCGCTCGAGACATCCCCAGTCTCCCGCTCGGGAAGGCATTGTGGACCTCCTCGCTGGAGGTGGGCCCCCTGGTGGTGTTGGTATCGCTTCTCCTCCCTCCGAGTAGGATGAGCCCGAGTCCTCAATCCATGGGGATCCTTCGAGAGCACCGGCCCCGCACTCGCCCTCGCCTCCCGGGGGCGCGCCGCGTGGCCCCGCCGGAGGCTCCCGGCGCCTCGTCGCGCGAGGCTCCGCCGGCCCCGAGAAAGGCCCACACGTCGGGCCACGAGGGCCCCCTAACACGCCCTCGCGAGGCCTGGCCATCGCTCGGACGTCCATTCCCCGTGTTTTTTTTCCGCTTCGTGCGTGGCTTTTTTTCGCCAGATGATCAAGGATGCTCCTCGATGGTCCTCGCCGAAGGAAAAGTGCACACGTCCGAGCGATGCCAAGAGGCAGTCTAAGAAGCCCCGGATCGCCGCACAATCAGTCCCAGCCGCTCACTGGCCTCCGGTCAGCCGTGAAAGCTCACAAGACGCCCAAGAGGCCTCCAAGAGCCTTTACAAGAGGGCCCTGAGGTCAAAATCATTGATTCCCACTGGTTTTTGAATGCTTGTGGGGTTCTTCACGTTTCGAGCTCCCGATGCTCTAAGACGTCCCAAGCTGCCCCCAAGACCGCCTCAAAAGGCCCCCAAGAGGGCCCCAAGACGGGCCAAGAGTGCCCCAAGACGGCCCAAGAGGCGCCCAAGACGGCCCAAGAGGCCCCCAAGGCGGCCCCGAACATGAACCGAAATTCCAAGCCTTCCGCCCCAAGAGGCGCCCAGGATGCCCCAGAAGCCCCCAACGAGGCTCCAAGAGGCCCCCACGAGGCCCCCAAACAGCTCCCCTGAGGCCTCAAAACTGCCTCCAGAAGCCCCCGAGAGGCCTCCACGAGATCCCGAGGAACATCGCCTCCGACCCACCACCCAGACACGGTTGCGGAATGGGCCGAAAGCCGTTAGGTATTCTCGAAATTGTTCTCGTTGTCGTCGTCGTTACGATTGCCTCCCAGAACGGCGTGTGAGGTCTAATGAGTTGTTGTGCCCCTTCGCGTGTGCTTCACTGGCATTGATGGGTGAGATCCATCTAGTTCCACATGCCCATTGCCCTTGACGCAATGTGAACTGCTGCGCGTGATCTCAGTCGCCACTGTCTGAATGGTCAGCTCAATATTCTGATCGACATGGGACTGCCAACTAGCCAGCGTTCCGTGGAGAAGCTCGCTGGGTGCGGAGCACCTCGGGCACTAGTCCCCATAAATTCCTTGATCTCCAAAGGGAAGAGGGGGATGGAGGGATGGGGGGAGAAGGACAAGTTTGGTGCGCTCGCGCCACAGCTGACATCCGACCCCTCCCACATGTCGCTGTGCTTCCTCTATCCGCCGCCGGGTGCCATAGCTGACATGGAGCTCCGGAAGTACCAGGGCGAAAGGCACAGCCACGTGCAGCTGCGAGCGCCGCGAGGGGATGAGCAGAGGGACGGATCCGAGGCGCAGGGGAGGAGGAGCAGCTGGCCAACCATGTCGGCGGCGCACAGGAGACGGCGGGCAGGAGAGGGGGGGTGGGGCGGCCTTCCGAGAAGGCTTCTTCCCTCAGAGGGCACGGGGCGCACCTCCCGGGCCGGGAAGGCGCCTCCCGCCCTGGGGAGGCCCCCACCTCGCCCCCGCCCCCCCCCCCCCCCCCTGTGCGCGCTGCTGAGCCCGAGGAGCAGGAGGGGAACACCGAGCGCCCTTTCCCGGACGACTGGCTGCTCCCAGGAGCGCCGAGGGGGCCACGGTGCGGCGACAGACGGCATGCCAGTCCCGACCCGCTGCGCCTCGCCTGGCGCTTCTCGCACCGCCACGGGGGCGGAGTGGAGGAGGAGGCGGAGCAAGAGAGCGACGATCAAAAACGGGTCTTACGCGAGATGGCACGGCGACCTTACGCGGTGGCTTTCGCAGGCGGCACGCTGTAATGGAAACGAGGGCGCTTACGCGCGAGCTCGCGCGGGCAGCTTGCGCACCACTGCCGGCGCACACGACCCCGCTTTTTGAAGGAGCAGGAGGAGGAGGAGGACGAGGAGGACGAGGAGGAGGAGGAGGAGGAGGAGGAGGAGGAGGAGGGAGGAGGAGGAGGACGACGACGACGACGAGGAGGAGGAGAGAAGAGAGAAGTAGGCAGAGCCTCCCAGGGCGGTGCAGGCATCGCCTCTTCGAGGCCGCCGGCCCGCGCCCACACCGCGGCGGTGCAGCAGGCCACCGCGCACGCCGCGCAGCGCGGCAAGCGCGGCAGCGCCAGCCTCCGGCCACGGGGGCCCCGTCCCTCCCGCCTGCCTGCCTGCCCGCCTCCCATCCTTCCTGCACGCACTCCAACTCTCCGCCTCCTCCTCCCTCCTCTCCTCCTCCCTCCTCCTCCTTCGCCTCTTCCTCCTCCTCCTCCTTCGCCTCTTCCTCCTCGTCCTCCTCCTCCTCCTCCTCCTTCCGCCTCCTCCTCCGCCTCCTCTCCGCCTCCTCCGCCTCCTCCTCCTCCTCCTCCTCCTCCTCCTCCTCCTCCTCCTCCTCCTCGTCCGGGCAGGTTACCCGATCCATTCCCCTCGCTCTCCCTCTCCCATGCTCACTTCCACGCCCTCCTTCCGTCCTCACCAGTAGGAGGCGAGAATGGATCAGAGGATGGAGCGCAGGGAGGACGGAGGCAGCGACGAAAGGAACGGGGAGTGACTGGCGAGCAGGGGGCAGGAAGGAGCAAACTTTTTACCTCTACTCCCTCCTATTTCTTCTTATTCCTCCTCACTCCCTCCCTCCCTCCCTCCCTCCCTCCCCCCCTCCTTTGCCTCCTCGCCCCCCGTACACTCGGCGGTACGGAGCCGCACCAAAAGTCACGCGACTGGTGCCGCTTGGCCAGATTTTGTGATGCACTCCCGCCGAACTCTCTCCCCCGCTGGGCCCAAGAATACAGCTTCGCGCGGCGGCCACATTCCCCCGGGCACTCTGACCACCCATGACTGGGGTACCTCTCGGCGGACAACGGCAGGGGGCGGCGGTGATTCGCCGTCGGCGTCTTCGATACTGGGGAATGGCACCCATGCCGCTACTCCCTGGCCCCCCCCAAGGATGCGTTCTGACCAAAACTTCGAGCAAAACGTGACGACGAGAGCTCTCCAAGACGAGCAGCGGCATCGGTATATTTTTTACCCTCCGAAATGCACGGCCCCCCCCGCGCGCGCAGTTTTCATGGTGGCGCTTCCAAGCTCCATGCCCAAACCCAGCAAGGCCGCGGGAAGGCGGCGGCGAGGAAGAGACCAAAAAACGCCCAGAGACTGGGGGCACAAAAAAAGGCACCGACACCGCTGCTCGGGAGACCTCTCCAGGGGTGCGTCAGGTCAGGTCAAGTGTGCCAGGCGCCTGCACGGCGCATCAGCAAGGCGAGAGTGCACGACCAAACGCCGAGGGCACATGGGTTCGACCAAACGCCGAAGGCGAGAGGACTCGACCAAACGCCGAGGCCGAGAAGGCTCGGCCAAACGCCGAGGGCGAGAGGCCACGGCCGAACGCCGAGCCAAGATGACGAATCAAACATGTGGCCGCTGCGGGCTTCGCGCCCCGAGATTTGTGCCCAGGGGTGCGCCCTGGACACACATCTCGGGGCGAAGCCCGCAGGGGCGACGAGTGCAGGGCGGAGGTGGCCTCCTCCGCCAGGAGCAATCGTGCCTCGAGCCCTCGCACCAGCTCAAAAACGGGTGGGAATGGCGGGCCATGCGGTGACCTGAAAAATCCCCCCGAGACCTCACCGCACGGTCGCGCCCCCTGAGGCCGCGGTCGCCCGAAACGTCCTCGGAGAACGACCCCCAGTCCCAAAAAAAGACGGCCACCCCGAGCCCCGACTGACTCACCGCCGAATGTTTGGTCTCCGGGCCCTACCTCGAAGCCTCCCGGATGGGGTCGGAATAGACATTGCCGGAGGCTCGCGCCGCATCGGCGACGCATCGGCGAGACGTCGCCGATGCGTCGGCGATGCATCGGCGATGCGTCGGGGACGCATCGGCAACGCCACGGCGGCGAAGATCGGGCTTCTTATCGAGCCGCATCGCCGATGCGTCAACAATACGGCGCGATCCTCCGACCCCATCTTTACTCGGATTCTGGAGTACCTCGGGTCTCCTGCGTCCGCTCGGGGCGACCCCGGGGCGCTCTCGGCGAGGCGCGGCTGCTGGAACGCATCCCGAGGCAGCAAAGCCCCCCAAACCAGCGAAAACTTCCGACCACTTCCCGAAACATGGACCCGCCGCGCGGAAGGGTCACACCGCACCGTCCAGGGGCCCCCGAGGACAGCCCGGCATGGGGGAACCAGGTCCTGCGGGAAGCGGATCCTGGACCCAAGGGGCCTTTTCCCCCGGGACGAGATCTTCGTCTTCAGTCGATCTCCGACAGTCCCAACGAACGAATAAGCCGCGCCCTGACGGCGCATCGGCAGCAACTGCAAGTAACATTAGCACATGTGTGGTACCATGCAGAAAAGGACGCTGCAAAGACGCTGAGCAGCAACAGTGCCTCGGTCGACAGGCGCTCGGTCCGACGGTCCCAGGGCCCGTGAAAGGCCCCAGGAGCCTGACAACAGCGAAAAACCTCAGGATCCGTTTCCCTCAAGACCCGCTTCCCCCATGGCGAGGTCACCTTGCCATCGCTCGGGCGCAAATGTCCCATGCATTTCTTCCGCTTCGCGCATGTATGTTCCGCAAGATGGGCCAGGATGCTCCTTGATGGTTCCCGCGGAAAAAACAATACACACGTCCGAGCGATGCCAAAACCCCCAGACATCCTGCTGCTCCAATGCGTTCAAGTGTGGGCCCCTGGGTCTGGACCATGGTTTTTCGTCCCGAGTCGTTGTTTCACGCTCCCGAGGCCCGGCGAGGGCCCCCAGAAGCCGAACACGGCGAAAAGCCTGCGGCGCCAAATTTTGGTTGAAGCGTCGGATCTCTGGGTCACCGCACCGTCCAGGGGCCCTTGAGTTGGACGCCCGAAATGGGTACGGACAAAAATCGGACAATGCCCAACAACAAATGGTGCCCCAAACCAGCAGCTGCCGTTGTTGGGCAGGTGGTTTTGTGTCTTCCATGAACAACGTCCACGGCGGCGCGGACAGCGAGTCCTGCTCAGAATGAAGAGGAACCGCTGTTAGGCATCGTGCCCATTATTTCCGCTCTCTGGGTTTCTTAATAAGCGTGGGGGGAATACCCCTCCGACGGGGGTCAACCTCGCCTCGTCGTCGCCCGCGACGGGGGTCGATGTGGGGCTGTCGGCGGGGGTGACGTCTCCGACCCTCATTACCCAGACCCCCGACGTCATGTTTTTCTCGCTGCGTCCCCCCCAAAAGGTCTCGACCTATTCCCCGAGACCGGTTTGTTATCCCGAACCGTTTTTGACGGTCCCGAGGCCAAATAAGGGTCCCCAACCTCTCGTTGGGATTTTTTCATTACTCGAGGGGATTCGGGGTCTGGGTATAAGATACTCGATGTACCCAGTTCGATCGCCCCCACCCCGAGGGCAGCGGCGGGCCCGCCCGGGGCGGCGGCCGCAAGGAGAGGGGGCCTGCTCATCTCCACGGCGGGCGCGAGCACGCTCGGGCAGAGGGCCACGCCCTCCGGGGGCGCGCAGCGCGGCGGCGGCGGCGGCGGCGGAGGAGGCGGAGGAGGAGGAGGAGGAGGAGGAGGAGGAGGAGGAGAAGGAGGAGGAAGGGGAAGGGGGAGGAGGAGGAGGAGAAAGAGGAGGATGAGGAGGAGGAGGAGGAAGAGGAGGAGGAGGGAGAGGAGGAGGACCCGAGGCTGGAGTTGGTCGCCGCGGCTATCAAAAAGACACGGCGCCTCGAGGACAGAGCAGCACTAAGCGTTGTGGAACCCGCCCTGAAGGTGGATCCCCGTCCGAGGGTGCCGATCCGCCTCGAGGTGTCTCAAAGCGGTCGTCCTGAGACGACTACTCTCCCAACTGACGGGCCCCTTACATGGCCATCAGGACGGGGGATTGGCGCGCGGATGCTGATCCACCGCCAACTCGACAAAACACGATAAGACCACAGGAGGCCATCTGATGGCCCCTGATGACCTCGGTCAAAAGCTCCACGGGGCCTAGGGCACTGGGCGGGGCACCCCCTGTACCACGGGCTCCATGGGACACAGACAGGGGGGCCGGCGCCCCGTCCACACCCTCGGGCCCGCACGGGGCCCCGCCCAAGCCCGACGGCCCCTCGGCCCCGCGCGGAACTCTCGACCAACTCCTGAGGTCACGATCCCTCGTAAACTACGCCACATTCTCGCCTTTGGGGCCACGATCCTTAGTAAAGCACGCTCCGAGTAACCCCCAAGAGGCCCCAAGAGGCCGTGAAGAGGCCCCGAAAGGCTGCAAGAGGCGCCCGAGACGCGCCCAAGATGCCCCAAAGAAACCTACAAAACACCCCAAGAGGCCCCCAAGAGGCGCCCAAACCGCCTCCAAAGGGCCCCCGAGAAGCTCCCCACGACACCCAAACATAGTTATACAAGAGACCTCGGACCCGAAACCCAGGCAAGGTGGCGGGATGGGACGAAAGTCGCCAAGATCCGCCGCCCCCTGCTGCAGTTTGAAAGGGGCCGGTAGGCCCGACCAGAAGCTACGCCTCAGGCGAAGCACAGGTCCAGCTCTGTTGCATCGCAGCGAAGGAGCGACGGGCCATCTCAAGCGAAGGATGTTTTCGGTCTCGATGGCGAATCGTACACCTCGCACTGAGGTGTAGTCAGATATCGGCGGCCTGCCGCTTGAGCACAAACGGCCGCGGACACACGCTCGTTACATATGACCTGTGTCCCAGCTCGCTGTAGGGTCGGGGGGGAGGAAATGAAACGTGAGCCCGCCGCTACTATACAGCAGATGCGGCAGCTACTATGCACAAAATGCAGCAAAGGGCGGGGCCGCAAGGAAGGCGGACCCACAAGCAAGTTGCCTTGCCAGCGCATTACTGTGCATGCGATTACTCCTCAGGCGGCCGCAGACCAGGATGTTTGGCCGGCCCGATAAGGAGTATGACGCTTAAAGTCAGTCTTGAAGGATTGCGCACCCCCATAACCTGTAGGAGCATATCTCTATCAATGCTCCCCTGTGTGTGACCATCCGCGGTCATGTCGCGAGTGTAGCACCACTGAATACTATGCACGATTCCTCGCTCCATCATCTGTCGTATCCACCGCTCACAGTCGGTTTCCTCGCATCTTTGCTTGACAAGGACTTGAAAACACATTCAGCATCTATGGTCATGGCACCGAGTCACGATCGTGGAATAGCAGTCCTCCAAGTTGCGGGCTGCTGCTAGTGTCTCTGCTGGATTGCGTGAGCGGACCTGCAAGCGGCGAGACTTGCAAAGCGCATCGATGAAGTGGGCGACAGGCATGCCGGATGGCGTGGTTCCGCGCCGTAGCAAGTCTGCCCCGCGAGTGCCATAGCCTTTGACTTCACCATCGGCATCTCCACTCGGGAGTCGATAGCTGGAGTCGCTGCGCGGGTAAACGTCGCCCGCTGGAGTCATCGATTGAAAAGCGATGTTCTTAGGGTAAGCCTCCAACTTACTGGTGATCGCGCTCAGTCGTCACACATGTATATTGGTCGGTTCTTGGACACGTTGTAGAGACACACATGTACTATCAACCACACTCGGGTGATTAATGCGTAAACTAATGCGCCTCTGAGGCTGACGAACATGTCTGCAACCATTTTGGATTCCGGATGCCTCGGCGTCAGCGTCGGCGCCGGAGAGTTTGGGATGTTGTATAGGACGGAGCTGTTTGATGTATTCATCTTGGTCCAACGTGACATTGCCGCCCCCATCCTTTGTGCACCTCGAAGCACAATTTGTATATGTATGGTTGTCGAGTTTGCATGAGAGTGTCCTCGACGCACTTGGCGCACTTGTCAATGGTGTCCTCAGTGCTGGCCATATTGATATCATCAACATGTTTGGCTGTGAGCAGGTTGCTGCTTGCCTCGAACTCCTCGTCGTAGGACGTGGGTCTGAGACCAAGGCCCCGCGTGTCCTTCTGAGCTTCAGTGAGAAACCTCTGGGCGCATCCTTGGTGCCGGCGCCTGGCACGAGGCGCTGCAGGCAGTGCTTCGACTCGTCGTCGCGCTCGAATCCTGGGAGGGGTCGAAGCGCCGTGGCCGAGCCAAGCGGCAAGGTAAAGCACGCCATACGTTCCTTCTCACCAGTTGCCTCGGCAAATTCCTGGCAGGTCAACCCTTCCAGGACGGCCGTGTTGATGTCCAGGGAAGCAATAATCCATGGCTTCTTGCACGCTGCCGCGCCTGCGAGTAATCTCTGACTTGGCCGCCGCGCTGCCCCTGAGAAGGTTCCCGCGTCAAAAGCTTCAAGGTCCACGGGGCCCCGGAGCACCGGGCGCAGTCGCATGGCACGTTCCATCTCGCCCTTCTCGTTCTTCACGAACTCCCATGTATATAATGCCTCGAAGTCATGCTGTTTGACGCCTTTGATGTATCTTGCATATTGAACCACTTGTTGTCAAACCATATCTTGAATTCAGTATACAGGGCCTTTGATACTTTCTCGGGATTCGCCGGGGCGTCGGCCTTCGAGAGGAAGTCGTCTTCCTTGACGACCGCGGCTCGTTTTGCAGCGGCAGTGACCTATACTCGCGCGGTGGCTGCGCGGCCGGCACCCAGCATCCTGCGCTGCTGCGCGGACGAGACTACCTCTGACATTTCTGCCGTGAAGCAGAGTCCTACAGACTGTCCTTCTTCGTCCGAAACCAATCCGCATCTGTGGTCTTCGACCGTGGATGATAGTGGGACATGAGACGTCTCCTCGGTGCCGGAGTCGTGCGAATATCCCCACTTAGGCAGGTGCCCCGGCTGTTCTTCAGCTATCGTGACCAGCGCACTGTCGTCGGTAACCATATGTGTAAGTACAGTTTAAAGGTCACCTAGAATGGAGTTACCTGCAGCAGCTCCCTTTCGCCATGTAGTTCTATGTACCACACTTCCATAAAATGTGCCTCAAGGTCCGCTTCTGATTCCTCATGTATCGTGGGAAGCCGTCCATAATCCTGTGGTGGTTCGGTTTCCGGGGCTTCTCTGGCGTTTTAGTCCTGTGCCGGCGTGTCCGCCAGTTCCTCTGACTTTGTCATATCTTGGTCAAAGCCCGCTTGAGGTTGAGTGGACTTTAGGCACTGGGTTATTCGAATGTGCTGATCCAGTTATCATGGATATTCATGGCAGTGCCTTCTGTTTCATAGTAATGAAAACCTTGTTTTACGTCATTGTCATTATGTACCACTGTGCAACTGTCAGCGCAAGCCACCAGAGGTAGCTCATGGATGCTCTTGGCCAACCCAGCAGAGACTACATTCTCGATACGGAAGAAGTGTCTGATAAAGTATTGGCTTACACTCGTCATCTGAAGCGCCCCCTTTTTCGTCGGGACATAGCCGAATGCCACAGCAGGTCCCCCCGCAGGTAGATTAGCCGCGAATGTCAACAATGTCCGTAGCGCGGCGCTGTCGGAGCCAATTTCTCTGGCTATCAAAGTTCCGTTGTAAAGTGAATGTCGTGCACCGCCATATTGGGCTTGTACATAGCGGCTCCCCACTCGAACGATGACATGACCCATGTCGGGATGATATCGTCCAACTGGGAACGGGCCATTCCAGCCCCCCCGTCGCCCTTCGTAGGTGCGGGGCGATGGTAGTCAAGCAGATCTCCTTCATTGTAACAATGCTGACTAGTAATCTTAGTACGTAATGCACAATTGGTCTCGGCTGATGCAGTAGCCTGTGCGATAGCTTCAATGCGCGCCCTGCGCACCGCGTGTACTCGAGAGCGGTCAGACGTTTATGCTGGCTGTTCGCAATCCAGGACAGGCAGGTCCGGGGGCAGCGCCGGCGCCGCCCAAACAAAGCACCAGATGGAGACACCTCACTGCAGAAGGTGAATGCACTGGCGGCGAACAAGGCTTCGTGCAGTAGTCGTGTGAACACAGTAGGTATGTCTAACCTGTTGAGTGCAAATTCCATAACGTGAAGCAGATGACGGAATATGCCATTTCTGGCTTCGGTCGTCGTAGCACATTGTCCACGCGCGCGCGTCCTCAGTTCAATGCCCTTTGCCTCGAGGACTGCCTTTGCAGTGTCGTGTTTAAGGGCACCCTCCCCATCGGAGTGGAGTACCTCGGCAGGTCCGAAGTGCATCCAGCACAGATGATACGCATCGAAGGTACTGGTCATTGTCTTATCTGGTATCTCCAACCCAGTAGCAGATCGAATGCAACGATCAATTATGTGAAATATATGGCGTTCCTGTTTGTAGGACATAAGGTCGCAGGCGACCTCTTCGTTGAACTTGCCAGGTGGTGCAGTGGATGGCATAACGGCGTGCCCCTGCTTGTCCCAAGCCCTGCGCTCCTGGCATGCGTCGCAGACGCCTCTGGCCAGGTTGAGCCTGACGCTGTCCAGACCTGCTTTGGTTAAGATCAGTCTCATCTTAGGCTCTTTAGCCTGGAACAATCGCAAGTGTAGCTTCCGCAGCTCGCGCGATGCCACGCTTGGGTCAAGGCTTCGTAAGTTTTGTGTAAGCTGATCTGCGCATCGAACCTTGGCCAGTCTGCGAG